GGCAGCAAATCTTTGTGCCATTTTTAGCATCTCTAAACACTCTTAGCATCTCTGAAGTGTTCTAAACACTTCAGCACCCAATGGCTACCTGAATAATCATTCACAAGATGTTTATAAATATACATGTATTCACACTGCATCCTTAGCCGCAGAGCAGCCCTTGTGACAAAGGGGGAAGCAGGATCAATAACAAGGCTAATCATCCCTCGTGTTTCTAACTGTAGGAGCAAAAAAACTTCAACTGTGACTTGAGATCAGCTCATCCAGCTGGTTCAAGGTTGATTAGTAAACCTTGTATCAACCAGCTCAGACATTAGACAAAGTAGCGCACATCTTCCTACAGCTAACAAAGCTCAATCACTGGAGTACAGCTGGACTTGTTCCCTTCTGAGCTTCAGCCCATTTAACAAAGTATCTCCTGCTCCTGCTTGCCTCAGATCAAATTTGCACTGCTACATAACTAGGTAAAGGAGAGAGCAGGAATAGCAGCGGGGTCATCGGCAGCATAAAATGACCATAAAATAAAGTTAGCAAAGATTTATTTGTATGATCTATTATCTAGCTGTTCAAAACAGCTGTAACATCTCACTTTTAAGTTAACAAATAACATTTACCCTTGGTTTATTTGTTACTGTTTTTAGAAAACAGACAACAAAAAAACACCACAGACTTTTCACCAACCTGCTTAAGTTTGAAGACCTCGATGTTCCTGACATGGTAAGCACTTCTGATCGTTTGCTGGTTGTATGGTGGACATTCAAAGTGGCCTGGAACATTGAGAAAAGAATAGTGGTCCAACAGAGATTTTGTCTCTCTCATGTAAGGTGAGACAGCACTCCTCATTACTTCCTTCCCATATTCCTTACTCACAGACACACTGCACCACCACATGCCATAACAGAGAGCTATTTGCTGCACAGCCACGCAACATCTGCCTGAGCCTGTTAATATCACAGAGTCATAAAGGTTGGAAATGAGCTCTACGATCAAGCCCAACCATTGACCCGTCTCCGCTCAACCATGTCTCTCAGTGCCACATCTCCATGCCTCTTGACCACCTGCAGGGATGGTGATTCCGCTGGTGCCTGGGCACTGTGTTCCATCAGATCTATGCCTGCACACACACCGACAGCCACAGAATGTACAGTAGATGGAAATAAGAGGTATCAGAGAACAAACTGTAAAATTATTGTTTCAGTAGTTAGTGCTATCACCTCAAGTCCCATCTCCCACAAGCAATATCCAGATAAAGAAATTGTATGCTCTGTAACAACAAATTTAGTTAAAACCCATGGGTATTAAAGAGAATTAAGTGTTCCAAAAAACTACTTTGTTCTTGGCAGCTTGAAAGCCACCTCCAAAGCCCCTCTGGAGCAGCATGCCAGGACAGGAGCATACATTCAGCCACACATTTAGCAGTGAGACAGAATGAGCTGCCTATCTGCTGACTCCCGGTGTCATTTGTGACCCGATCTCCGGCTCCTCTCAGACACGCACGCATTAAGCTGAGGGGAACCGAACCCCGCTCGGGCCGCCCCTCGCTCCTACCGTACCTTTCCGGTAGTCGTGCGACTTGAAGATGCCCGAAATGCCGCCGATCCTCACTCCGCGGAACCGCACCACGCCCGCGTAACCTGCGGAGAGGAGCGGAGAGGAGCAGCACGTCACGGCCGGGAACGGGGACGGCACCGGGAGGCGGGGAGAAGCCGCACGTACCGAGGTAGTAGATGTTGGGCGCCACCCATCCGCCGTAGGGCAGCTCCTGCAGGTGGTTGGAGGCCTCGTGGTTCCCTCCGATGAACACCGTCAGCACCGGGGCCTTCTTCTCGCCGGAGTAGTACCTGCGGGGGGGACACGGCACGCTGCGGCTGGGCGGCCAGGCCGGGTGGGCCGAGCCGGCGGCACTCACCGGTAGAACGTCTGCATGTGGCGGTACTTGGCGGGCACGGCCATGCAGCGCAGGTCCGCCTCGTTGCGCACGGCTTGGAAGTCGCCGCAACAGAGCAACAGGTCGGGCCGCACGTTGTGCCGCTTCTGCAGCAGCTCCAGCGTCTCGTACATCTTATCCAGGGCGCCGTGGCAGCACCCCGCCACCGCCACCTTCATCCCGCCGCCGGGACACCGCGCAGGCGCCGACAGGCCGTGACGCAGAAGGGACGCGCGGCGCATGCGCACTGCTACGGGGGGAGCTGTGCTTTCTTCGCGGTGCGGCAGAACTGTGTGCGGTGCCGGGGTACCAGGCGGCTCAGCAAAGGGGTTTTTAGCCGGTTTCTTGTAGCCCCGCACGAAGCAGACACGGGACGCTCGGTGACTTCACCCCGCTGCTTCGTTTTCCCTGCAGACTGCCAGGTGGCGTTTTGCAGAGCAGCGATTTCCTCGTTTTGCGGGGCGGTGGACTGACTCATCGGGCGGTATTTCTGCGTCACGTAATAACACCGCTCCTTACTTTTTCCACGTTTTATTTTAACAGTCTTGAGGGATTGAACAAAATTGCAGCGACGCAGTTAAGCATTAACTCGCTGCTGCTTACCCTGTAATCATCAAACCGAGGAGACATTCCTGTTCCCCTGAAGTAGCAAATATTACACAGTGGCCTCTCTTTGGTTACTGAGAAAACAAGAGTGTTCTCTAATGGGTTCCACAGTTTCACAGTGTTGGGTTACTGTGTGTTCTTTGGGGCTCTTGTCCAAGCCCATCTGAAGTGAAGAGAAAAGCTCTTCTGGCTTCCACTGCCCAGAGTCCTCAGAGAAACAGCAAATCATCTGTTGCTGTGCTCGGCTCTTCTGGTGACTGCTGGGACTCAGCTCTCTGGGGAAGGCTTTGCAGTTTCTATGGGGGACAGCAGCTGCTCAAGTTGCCACATCCCAGCTATGCTGTAAGGCTACAGATAGTTGACAGCAAGGTCCTGAGCCCCAGAAGGTGCCACGTCACCTGGGATGTGCCATCTTCTGGGTCCTCCTGAGGCTGCCAGGAGGTGCCTCCTCGCTCCATTTCCCTGTCCAGTCAGGTCCTCACCTTTCTTTTCCTGGGTCAGTCTCATCTTTTCCTGCCTTTCCCCACCCAGCTCAGTCCCCAGCCAGGCAAGGCAAGCTGATGCTGTCTTTGCAACTCCTGGGTTTGTTGTCTCTGGCTCATTTCTGATCCCCATGTGCCACTTTTCACCAGCAAATTGGTGTTGAGCTGAGTCTGCACGTTTTTGTGTTACAGCGTTTTTGTATTTGTACACCATTCATCATGCATCATAACTTGCCAAACTGAACTGCGGGTGTTGAGTAAAATTGCTCTGAAGTTTCCACAGCATCGGGACCACAAAGGGAGGCAGGCACACTGCTATGTATAGGGTTAGCAGTGGTGAGTTAATGCTCAGCTCCTTATTGTACTGTTCCATCCTTCAAGACTTTAACAGCCATATGGCTGAAGTGCAGCTCTCCTCCACCACATGATTAACATGTTGGGTTGTAGATTGGGCTCTGCGGTCATCGGCTATGTGCCTCAGTGTGTTCTATGTACCCCTCATTTCTGTGCCTGGCCCTCTGCTCCTCAGTGACCAAATGGATACACCTCCTGTGCTGGTGATAAGAACAGGCTGTGAGGAGAGTCCAAAGAAATAGCCTGAGCTCTGTGGTTGTTGGGTTTGAGGTATAGAATCGTAGAACCATTCAGGCTGAAGAAGATACTTCAGATTCCTAATTCCGACCCCAGCCCACCCCACCATGCCCTCTGCCCACACATCTCCACAGCTCTGAACACCTCCAGCTGCCCCACCTCCCTGTGCAGCTGTGCAATGCCTCACTGCTCTTTCTGAAAATATATTTTTTTCCTAATATCCACGTTGGTGTGCCCTTTCAGCTATTTCCTGCCTGCACTGATAGCAGAGTGTTTGGTTCTTTTTCTGCTGATCAGGCAGCAGCAACGTGGAACCACAGATGTACAGCAGCTCTCTACTGAGACGTGAGGAAGAATGGGGGCTGAGGGGATGCAGGGCTGCACCCCTGGTGTCTGAGAAGCTCAGGGGGAACTCCTGGAGAACTCACTGTCAAGATCTCTGTAGCATCTTCTGAAGATACTAAAACACATTTAGAAAGCGCTGGAGTTAAGAGAACAGCAAAGGGAGCATCTGTCACTGACTGTCTGGGGAGGGACGGTGTGGCTGAAAGAGGTACAGGGAGAAGCAGTGGGAAGGTGATGGTGTGTGAAGCAGAGAGATGTGACACAGCGGCCAGAGGTGTTCCTCTGAGAGGTGCCACAAAGCAGCAGGGTGTGTGTGTGGGGGGGATGGAAGGGTGCTGCAACCCAACGACAGCTCAGCGCTCATCCGCGGGAAAAAAAACCAACGAGATCGGCCTAAACGTCTGCAGGCTCCTCCGCAGGGCTGTTGTGGTGTCTTCGGTCACCTCCTGCCCCAGCGCTGCGTCTGTGACGGCCGCGCTTTTGCTCTCCTCCCTCTTCTTGTGCCTTCACCCATCGCGCCGTTCCGTGCGAGGGCACCGACGACCTCGAGCCGCGGCGGGCTGAAACCGACGCCCGGAGCAGCCGAGTGAACAACAGCCGACGGCGGGGGCTCGGCGTGCGCGAGGGGCGCGGGGCAGAGCGCTGAGGCGCAGCTGAGGAGGGGCGGAGGGCGGGAAGCGAGGGGGCGGCGCGTGCACGCGCGGGGTGGGTGTGTGTGTAGTGGGGGTGGGGGGCCGTTCTCCTCTCCCCTCAGCGCGGGCAGCGCCATTCCGCCGCCGCCTCCGGCTCCTCACCGCCCGGCCTCGACCTGCGGGGCCGCCCGCCCGCCGCCGCGCCTCCGGGGCGGGGCCCCCCGCCGCGCGGAAGGGGCCGGCCGGGCCGGGCAGCAGTGCGCGCCCGGCGGCGGGAGCGGCGGTGCCGGCATGGGACGGGGCGCCGCCCCGGCGGGTAGGTGCGGGGAGAGCGGAGCGGGGCAGGGCCGGGCCGGGCCTGCCGCCCTCAGCGGGGGTGGCCGTCGCTCCCCTCGGGGCCCGGCAGCGGGGGCAGGTGCCGGGCGGGCCGCGGGGCGCGATGTCTGCGGAGAAGCGATCCGGCGCCGGGCGGGATGTCCCGGAGCTGACGGGCCGGGCCGGGAGGAGCGGGGCTCGGCGGAGTGCGCAGGTAGCGCGTCCTGAGCGGGGCGGGGAGGAAACGCTTCTCACCTCGTGTGAGCGCGGAAAGCCAGTGCGCGACGCCTGGGGGGAGCTGAGCGAGGCAGAACCCCGCTGAGCCCCGCACTCGGTGGTTGTGAAAAAAGGGCTTTTTCTATTATTTTTTTTTTTTCTTGAGTGTTTTCTATGAAGCAGAGAAAGTCATTTCTGAGCAAGAAAGGGAGCGGCTTTGGCTGCGAGACTCGCTGGTTCCCTGGCAGACAAACCCGAGATTAAGCTGGGCATAAACTTGTAAAGTTGTGATTGAATAATGGAATAATTTACTGAAGGACGTGTTCTTACTGGAGCAAGTCTCTGAAGGTCATCACACACTGTGCTGGTCCCACGTTATGTAAATATTGTGAAGTTCTGGGCTGATTTTATTACCTCTGTTCTTCACACTAAAGAAGGAAGCACGGGGAGATGTGCTGTCTGCGCCTGTTCTCCCTGGAAAGGCAGCCGGTGCCGAGGGGAGGTGGTGGCAGAGCAGCCGGGGGTCCCCCCACTCTTTGCTGTGCAGTGCTGCCTTTGAGTGCGGGGGTTTTATTGGTGATGTGCTCGTGGCATTGCCGTGTATAAGCAAACTGATGTCCGCTTCAAGAAATAAACTTTACAGGCATCTACTTAAAATAGCCCTCTCCTCGTGATTAATTTTTGTGAATCTTTTGAGTGTGGTAGGTCTGCCCTCACCAGTTATGGTAGAGGGAGGTTATTCTCGTGAAAACTGGGAGGAGATTGACAGTGCTGTTAGGCTATTCTTGATTTTGTAAAATTATTTATTTAATGCCTGTCGGATTCTGAGAAGTTGAAGCAACAATTGACTGCATACAAAGCAACAGAGAAGAGTTGAAGTTTACCAGTGGCACGTGGCCAGTTTCCATTACCTAGACCTCTGCAACTACTGTCATGTGTTATCTTGCTCTCATACTTTGCACAGAGGTGCAGCGTTAAAGGTAGCTGTGGTCATAGTGCCTCAAGTTAAAGTCAACAGGCATGTGTGAGTACTGAGAGCTGCCCTGGCAATGCATGTTCCATCCTCTTCGCCTGCAGCCTGCAGTGCAGCTGGTGAGCATGGTGATGTGGGTGATTCAGATTGCTGCAACGGGGTCCTGTGGTCTTAATGTTCGCTATCGGTAGCCACGGAGAGTAGATATGATGCTGCACAGTGCAGGTTATTTTTTTCCGTGTTTTTCCTCTCAGGACCTTTTTCTGTCCTTCCTGCAAACCTCCTCACCCGCTCCCTAGAATTACGTGGACGTGACTTCAGTCACTCTGAACTTGGAATATCTTGGTAAAGATAGAGAGATTCCCTACAGCTGTAATTCATTGCCCTTGTATAAGTGCTTTCCAGTACCATCCTAAATGACTGCATGCTATTTTTTCCCTGTATAACTAGGTTTTCAGCTGTTACACAGAACTGCACCTTTTTGAAGACTAAATTAGGGGTTGGAAATTGCTTTCCAATTCTGGCAGAAACTGGACAGTGAAATAAAACTATGGTATGAAGGAGACTTTCTTATTCATAAGTAAGGCACTGAAGTGCTGTCTCGCAGAACTGGATTAATATGTTTTACAGGACAAGCTTCCTCTACCAAGTACACTATTGTATTCTTCCTCATGCTTAGGTCTCTGGATGTGATTTGTGGATACACTGATGTGGGCAGGTGCAGTGGAGCAGTTTGTTGTGTTTTGGAGGATGAAATGTTCTGTGGCATCCCGTGCCTTGAAAAATCAGTGCCTCTAGCTGGGCACTACAAACTGGTGCACTCTTTCCTTTGCCATGATTCTTGCCAGGTAAAAGGAAGGTAATAGTCATGAATTCATGAGAAGTAGGGGAAATAAGTTAATGTTTAAGAAGCCTATAAATACTATACTGATAGAGAAATTAATCATCCTGCTTGTAGAACGCTGTATGAGTAGGAGATACTAACCAATATATGAGGTCACAGACGTAAGAAAGCTGATTAAAAATGATTGTTTGTTTTAATAGATATTCATATTCATGAATGTGAGCACTGATTGCTATTCACTGAAATTAGAATGAGGATCTTTATGCTTCTTAGTGCTTATCTTTCTTTGTGTCATTTTAATCTGCTTCTTTTTGAATACACAGAGATAAATGGGTAGAACTTGATTCTTCTGGAAAGAGTCCTGGGTTAATGAAGATACAAGGGAAATGACTGCCTCTGTCCTGCAGAGATGTCAGGCTACAACACTCCTTGTTTTCCTTCGTGGAGGGAAGGGGATAGAAAAGTTAAGCTTCCTTCATTTTCTTCTTGCTTTGATCATGCTGATCTGTGCCTCTGGTGTGGCTTATCCGAGTCATAAGCAGTAAAAGCTGTAGCAGTGCCAGACTTCTTGAATGCTGGGACATGCTGTACCTTTTGGCCTAATTTGTTACATTTCAACAGCTGCTGTCTTGGGAGCATGAGTGGAGGCTGGCAGGAATGGGCTTGTGGAAGGTATGACTGGTGGAAATGGCTGCTTACTCTTTGCTCCTGTGATTATGCCTCAGAGGAGAGGATGGGCACATGGCACAGAACAGGAGTGTTTCTCCCAGCTTGGTGTTTTCTCTCTTCTCACTGCTGACCCGTTGAAGGCGTGCAGTGCTGCAGTTGGCACCGGGCTGGGGTTACCCTGGAGAAATGGATTCTCATCACAGGAGAAGAACTTTTACCAAAACTCTTGAATACCTGAGGAAATAAGTGAGTAGTGTGGTATGGTGCAGATGAGACGTGAAGTCAGGGAAGGCAGCAGTGAAAAGTAAATAAGCCCCAAATAGATGAGTAATGAAGGAAAATATTGTTAATTTATAGAATTAAAAATCTATATTAGCTGGCAGGTAATAATTGGCAGATGGCTTGCCTGCTATGGGAGAAACTTGCAGTTTCCAAGATGGTTTTGTGAAACCTGTAAATGCTGACCTCATTAGCAGGGACTGAGGGAATGCCATCTTGAACACTACTCCTTTGTAAAGGAAAACTTTGTTTTCTTAATGCTTCAATAAAATCACTTTAATTTGTGAAAATTCATCGGATATTGTTGGTGCTAAATTAACTGTTTCCAGGGAAAAGAAATACATCCTGCTAATATGAAGTTATTTTTTCCTTGTAAGGATATGAACAGCCAACAGAGACATTACTTAATCAAGCTGGCTTTCTGACCTCTGCCCCGAGCCTTGCTAATTATGTGCTTTTGAATCTTCTCCACTTCCAGTGTCTTCTGGTTGGTCACCTTATTTTCTGTCAGCATAACAAATTTAAGTGGGGCTCATTCTTCCTACAGGTGTTGGTTTTTTTTACCTGTGGCTTGCTAAGTTCTGGCATGTCTGTTAATATATCGGGGCATGCTAAATAACCTAAGATTAACTAATAGCTCTAAACAGACAGAGGAACAACAATTAGTTGGCAAATTATTTAAACTTATTGGGTTGTTAGGCAAAAAAAAAAATTGCGTGAGCTTTCAGCCTCCTGCTGCCTCATCTGTCTAACTGGAAGCCAATCCTGTGGGACACATTCCTGTCTGGTCAGTTTTGGTTCCAGATCTCTGCAGAAGGAAAGGTGTAGAAAGATATTTCTGAAAAACTTGAGAAGGGTGAAACTTTCCTTGATAATTGTAGCCGTCCTGCTCTTCCAGCAGCAGAAAGCTCCTCGGGGCCCCTGCGTTGGTTCTCAGCAATCATTTTGGTGTAGCTGTGTTCTGGGACCCTGCGTGCTGATGTTTGTGAGGAGTGCAGCAGCTCCCGAGCGTTAGATAACACTGCGACTTAACCTGAGGGATCGCACTGAGTGACGCTGCGCTCACTAACTGCAAATCAGTATGTCAGAACAATAGTGTGAGCACCAGTGCCAAGCTTGTTTTAAAAGAGCAGTGTAGGCTGTTGTTACTGATACCAGCCCTAATCTTTCTGAGTGTCGGGTTTGTTTTATGCTGCTGTAAACAGGGGCACGTTGTATTTCAGGAGGCGTTTGGTGTTGTTTTTTTGTGTTTTTTTTTTTTTTTTTTAAGCATAAAGCTACTGAAATAGATTTCCAGGTGTAAAAATTGACTTCTCCAAATTCTATTGACTGTAAAGCAGTGTTTATCATCCTGTCACAGATGGTGATTCCCAAGGTCACGTCTGCTTGGAGGTGTGCCTCCATTAGTCCTTCCATTGCTGTGACCTTTGTGGTTCACGGCAAGAATGCAGAAGTCTCACTTCAGCTGGAGAAATTAGGGCTTGGAAGCTATTCAGCAAAAAAGCATGAAAGACAGAGAAGCAAGTATTCTGCTGTTTCTGGGTTTTTGGAGAGTCTCACAAAGCTTTTATTAACTCTTCTTAAAGGAAATATGCTGCCATGCAGGGAGGGTAAGTTTTCCATTAACCAATACCCGGTTAAAGTGTAGGAAGAAATGTCAGATTTTCTAGTGAAGAGTAATCACAGGCACAACCCCATTGAGATCCGTTCTCAGGCTTGTGTTGCTCAACAGTTGCAAATGATCTGGAACAGAGGCTGAATAATGAAGTGGTGCTATATGCTAAGAATTGCAAAATGAGAGTAGTAGAAACAAAAGGTGATTGAGTTGCAGAAGGTTCTTGTGCTAGTTGGTGGTATTAAAGGAAATATTAAAACAGAACCCCTGGATTGCCCAGAACCTTTCTGTGTCTGTGATCTGCTTTGATGGGAGCTTTGCAGGTTTGCAGTGCGCGTGTGCCTGTTTTTAGCGTGGTTCCTGGAGCACCGCTCAGTCGCATCTAGTTCTATACTGGAAGAGGTGAGCAGTCAGACCTTATTCGTCTTTTCTGTGCCATTCATGATTTTCTAGGCTATCCTATTCTTCCCAAGTCTTCTCTTTCAGTCTGAAGTGCTTTATCATGCCTGCTTGCTCATCACTTAAAAGCTTTACCAACCCTTTGGGTTACTCTTGTTGCCCATCTGCTGCTCCTTCCCTTGAGGCTGTGCCAGTATCTCCATTCTTGTTTAGACCTTT